TTAGATTTGTGCTAAGATTTGGTCCAAGTGACCAATACAAATCGAGGAAGAAAACTTTGAAATACGTTTGAAATTTATACATTATTTCGATTCGATGATATTGTTATATAAATACTTTTTTCAATGTTTGGCAAGTTTTAATGCGATCATTTCTAAAATTGAATCTAACGATTGGATTTAATTTGTGGCGCTTTGTTCGTTTAACGTTCCTTTCATTTTTTTTTTTTCTCTCTCTTTCTTTTCTTTAGATCGATTAGATGGAATTTATATAATTATTATACGTGCAGTATTAGTGATTTTAAAAGATTTTCTTTTTCGTTTAAAGGCCAAGATGTCCCATCGTTCTGTGAGCAGATGATCCGCGCGACAAGCGATTCTTATCTAATTATATCCGCGGGAGATTCATCGGCAGCCTTGGCCCGGTAAAGTGACAAAACGTCTCTAAAAGTTAAAAGAGCCAACTCTGTGAACGTCGAAACGAACGTGATAAATGAAAGATCATACGTTTCGAGTTTACGATGTACATACAGTGGTTACAAAAAAATTATCTGCACACCGATCTATTCATTATACCATTGTACATTAATCATAAATAAATCCAAATATACATTATATTTATTTAATAGCGATTTCTTGTAACAATAAAAATTTGATGATGATACGAGAATGAAATCTAAAAAAAAAAGCTAAGAATACGTGCAAATATTTTTAACCTCTATATATTTTTTAAAATAAATTAATTGAAATAAAAGAAAACAAAAAAAAAAAAAATTGAGAAAAATTAAAAACAAGAAAAAAAAAATTAATTCATTACTTTTTCTTCAAATTTCATGATTCGTGCAATGAAAAGTGTCTCGTAATAAAAAATATTACATAATCATTATAACATCGTTAAAATCCTTGATCGAAGGTAAAAAAAAATATATATATATGTATTATATATATAGATTGGAAATTTGATCGAAATTTATAATAAAAGCCATGATCGATCGAATATAAAAGGTGCCGCTTGTTCGTTCACAGCGTTTTCAAACAAACGTTCCCTCGAACGGAAACGGTTTCCCCGGAAGATAAAAGAAACAAAAAAAAAAAAAAAGAAAAAAAAAAGAGAAGAAATCTTTCGGTTGAATTCCGCGCTTGTGTGCATTTTCGGAATGTATCGCGAGTGGTGTGTGCACCCCGAATGACGATGAGTATACGCGCGTGTATATCGTACAAAGCGTAGATTGTGCGTGAATCGAAAACACGGTTCGGCTCGTCGGCGGACTATATAGAAATCTCGAAAAAGAGAACGGATGTCGATATAATCGAGGAACAGAGCGCGACAGGCTTGTTCTGATATTCATTCCATTCTTCCCATTCCATATTATGCGAAAATGAAATTAAATTGATTCTTGCATCTTGATCATCTTAAGTTTACATCTAAATTTATATCCTTCATAATTGTAAAGAATTTACTTATACTTGGATCTGTAAAATAAAAATAAAACGTGTATGAAACATGATTAAAATATATCCTAATATAATTCTAGGATACATGATACAGTCGTAATTATTAAAATTAAAACGAAACTGTTTCATCCAATTAAAAATTAATGTAGCAAGCTGTACATTAAAATATTGAATTTCTAATTGTAACAATAAATCGACAGAAATTCAATGAAAAATAAAAATAATATAACAATTTCACATACAGATTAACATAATACAGATTTGATTAAAAAATAAAAAATAAAAGTAAAAACGATCGGAAAAGGAGAATTAGATTCTCTACCAGTCGCGATGTTCTCGTATATATCGGGTGGCGCGAATATTTGGTTACCGTTAATCAATTATCAGTGAATCTGAACAAATTTAAAGTATCGATATAAAAAAAAAACAAAAAAAAGCAAATTAATAATACGATACTTAAAAGAGCCTCTTTCACTCTTTTTCTTTCCCTCGTTCAAAGTCTTCCCTCTTTCTATCTCTCCACTGTTTCTCTTACCCTGTTTCGTCCCGACGACTTCTTTCTAAAAGGGAAAAATCCTTTCCCCTGATCATCATCCTAGATAAGAATCTTACAAGGCAATGTTGCAGCCAACGGGATAAATAGTACATTCCCAACATCTGCGCGAGAGATGTCCCTTAAATAGAGAACCGATAAAACTCTCACTTTTATTTCTCATTCTCTTCTTCCCCGTGGTGTGTATATGTATGTATATATATGTGTGTGTATGTAAACTTTGTCACTTCCACGATTATAACTCATTCTCGCTTCATTTCTTCATTTTCGTTCCGGCTACACACTATTTTTCAATTCTTTTGCCAAACATCTCTCACTCGTATCACAATCATTCCTTATCGTTTATCCTCTATCACATTCTCTCTCTCTCTCTCTCTTTTTCTCTCTTTTTACTTTTGTTTCTCGCACTTTAAGTTTTCACTCTTCTTTTTCTTTTATGTACAGACTGCGAACTGCGAATAAATGATAAGTTACGCTCTAATTTACGTTACGACAGTGTTTTTTTTTATCTTATACCGGGTGTTTCTTTTTAAAGGAAAAAGCAAAACCTGAAGGCTCTTATTTTTCTCGTTTGATTATGATATTGACATATTAGGCTGGTTTTTCGTGTACAGCGATTGTTCAAGAGTTAGATTTTAATTGAAATAATTTGGATATATATATATTACTTCTTTTCAATGTAGTTTTGAAAACTGTATTCAGAAAATATGATTTTCTTTGGTTGATTAGTTGTAAAATAAATGAGATCTGGTAAAGATTTGACATGCGTTTCCCATTTTTCTTTAATTTATGCATGCTTTCAGAATATATAAAATGAATAAATATTCCTATTCCAATATTTAAAATCATTTACGAATAGTTAAAATTTAAAATTGGAAATTGTTAAAAATTTAAAAAAAAAAAAAATAAAGAAATAAAATTATCTCTTTTATGATAAATCCCTTTCTGAATTAAAGAATTGAACTTAATCCGCAATTTTGACAAATCACAGTTCTTATCACTCATTATATCACCATATCTCTCAAATAATATTCGCGATTTATTTTACACAAAATAAATATTCATAAAAAATAATCCTAACGATATAAAATTCACCGGAAAATATTCGATATTTCAATAATTTTCAAAAAATTGAAACTTGGTTGAAATTCTACCATTTCCTGGTCGAGCGATTTAAGAATTCTAATTAAAGTACTTCGCGTCCAGAAATAACTCCTTACTAATTTCTGTCAACGACACGATTCATAAAAGACAAAGTAGCACGGCAGAAAGAGATACACGTGTCGCAAATTTATTTTACATACGAATAATCTCATCATAGGATAACCCTAACCATCTAATCTTCACCGGAAATAATTGACACATCTCAACTTGTGGCAAACATCTTGGAAATATTCTAATTTAACCTCGTTCGACCGATTTAACGATCCCAATTAAACCACATCCAATTGTCATTATCCAGAAACTCCTACTAATTTCTGTCAACGATACGATTCATAACACAAGATAGCACACGAGCGGAAGAGAGGAAGAGATGCAGAAGGGGGGAGGGCAGAGAAGAGCGGTGTGTTGTGAAAAGGTGTTGCTGATTCTATTTGCGATGAAAAGATTGGCACTCGGCAATTGGCTGGCAGGAAACAGCTGCTCCGCCTACCGCTCGCGCTGCCTTGGTCACGCTAATTTGCATACCGTTTGGATTTGCACCGTAAGTGCACGCATCTAGCCGTCTATAAACAGCCGTGACACGCGTGTACCAATTAAAATAATCATTTTTCACCGGCCTAATGAAGAGATTCTCCTTTACCAGAGAGTGAAACCAACCAACGTTTATGCTCCCTTATTCTCCGTTTTTTCTCTGTAACACTGATAATGGGTTACGTATGAACACTGTTGAACACTGTTGAACACCGTTGTACACGAAACGAAATAGCAAGATCGCGAATCGATAGAAACGAGACGTTTGGTACGAGCCATAAATAAAGACAGGTTTCTCGCATAATAGCGTATCAAGGAGTGAAATTGAATCGTGACTTTGAGCCTGATTCGAGAAAAACACCCGGTACTCGCCTAGTATAGACGAGATTAACTTAATCTTCTCTCGAATGCGTGTGTATGATAATTGTGTGTGCGTCTGCGTGTGTACGTGTATATGACTTACGTGTAAGTTTACGCGTAAACTTGTGTATGTGTGTTTAAGTAAAGATGTAAGTGTGTATATTATCTACATATGTACACAGGACAAACACAGAAGCGTACGGTGTGAGAGGATCGGTGTGGCGAAGAGCGTGTGTGGTTCGTTATAGCGACGTTAATTAATTAGCGGGTGGCTGAGATCCGTACACGCCTCAGGAATCATCCTTGAAGATCTTTGTCCGCACGGTGATGTTGAATCTTTGAAACAACATCTTCTTCCACAGGGAAGGGAGTAATCGGTGTTTCCATCGACTTCATATTTTTTTTTTTTCTTTCCTTTCCATTTGCTAATGAAAGAAATAATTAATGGTTATATGGTATATTTTTGTTAGTTTATTAGAAAAATGAATGTTAAGTTACTTTTTCCTTTTTCCTTTTTGCGGAGAAGTTTATATATTTTAGGAATATATTGGAAACTCTAATGATACAGGATACGTTTCATTAGTGGCAGTATTTATCAAAGAATCGTTTCAAGTTTAATTTTCTGCAACAAAATATTTCTAATGTAGAAAATATTAAACATTCAATTTTGTGTATCATTGAAATCATTGACTTAAATAATTTAAATAATTTAAATATTCATTCGACAAAAATTATTTAATAAAAAAAACAAAGAAAATACCTTTGTGAATGTGCTTTTTTTTAAAAAGAACCATCGAATATGAAACATCATCATCCAATTACTTTAGAAAGGCTTTAGAATCAACGAATTGAAGATTATAACACGGCATTGAAGAAAAATGAATGTTAAATAACAAAATATTTAATGTAGAAAATATTAAACATTCAATTTTGTGTATCATTGAAATCATTGACTTAAATAATTTAAATAATTTAAATATTCATTCGACAAAAATTATTTAATAAAAAAATAAAGAAAATACCTTTGTTAATGTGCTTTTTTTTAAAAAGAACTACCGAACATGAAACATCATCATCCAATTACTTTAGAAAGGCTTTAGAATCAACGAATTGAAGATTATAACACGGCATTGAAGAAAAATGAATGTTAAATTACTTTTTCCTTTTCTTTTTGCGGAGAAGTTTATATATTTTAGGAATATATTGGAAACTCTAATGATACAGGATACGTTTCATTAGTGGCAGTATTTATCAAAGAATCGTTTCAAGTTTAATTTTCTGCAACAAAATATTTCTAATGTAGAAAATATTAAACATTCAATTTTGTGTATCATTGAAATCATTGACTTAATTTAAATATTCATTCGACAAAAATTATTTAATAAAAAAATAAAGAAAATACCTTTGTTAATGTGCTTTTTTTTAAAAAGAACCATCGAATATGAAACACCATCATCCAATTACTTTAGAATCAACGAATTGAAGATTATAACACGGCGTTCGTCAAGATCCAGCAAGATTCTGAGGCTTGTACCATCTAAGCCGAACTACTGGTAACCGTAAATAACGTATGCGTGTGTTTCTCTTACATCTCAGGACCTAGGGTACGGGCGGTACGCTACGAGATTAGAATGGGTATAATAGAGGATTGTGGTGTTTGTTGGATTCGCGAAAAAGAAAAAAGAGAATAATATACGACGTGGCGTATGTGTATCTAAAAGTGTATAACAAGAACTTTGTGTCTTGCGTCGAGTCGCAATTGCGATATGGGATAATAAGGAAAAAGAAAATGCTAACATGTCTTTTGCTATTTTCACGCCGGAAGCGTTCCCCCGCTGCCTCGATTTTCCTCCTTTTTTTCTATTATTCGTAGTTAATCGTATTTTATATATATATATGTATCGTTCCTTGCTAAAAAATTAGAAGGACAATATTCGTGGCCGGTTATGTATACTTATGTGTGTGTTGTGTTGTGTGTGTGGGTGGACATGTACAACGTGCAAGTGAACTTTCCCTTTTCTTTCTTTCTTCGTTTCAAAAATGATGGTTAAGTCTGGAGCGTTGTGTGTCGCGATTAAAAAGTCGAGGCATGATGTGGCCGCTTCGGTTCCAGGATTTTTCAAAATCTCTTCCAAACTTCTCTTTATCCGAACTCCAACGTTCCGCAAACGTCCCTAGAAACCTTCCAGGAGAAAATTCAGGGAGGATTTCGTTCGGCTTCGTTTATATTATATTCGAGATGCTTCCGTGATACACGATTTCACCAATTTCCAATCTCCGTTCGACGCCACGAAAAAATCGTAACTGATGTTGCCCGATAAATGTATACACCTAAGTATTACAATCCTCGAGTACGGAAGAGTTCGTCCGTCGATTCGAGAACGTTTTCGATCAGTGTTATTAATAGTACGATCACAAAAAAGCGAGAAAACGTTCTCCCTAATTTACTAATAACTCCTTGCAGACTCTTGCACAGACTCTTTGTCGAGTATAAGCTGGACGAAGTAAATTAGTCCAGGTGTATCTCGAAAATAATACTCTCTTTCTCTCTTATTCTCACAGACAGTGATTTCATAAGATTCCTTGCGAATCAAAAGGAAAAGATCCAAAAAAAAAAAAAAAAAAAAAGAAAAGAAAAGAAAAAAAAACTAGTTTCTTCCTTCGTTCTTCCACGTCATTCTTCTTTTTCGTTCCTTAAGTTTTTTCTTGATTTCTCTTGCTCTGACTGCTCGGAGCCCAGGGTCACAACGAGTGATAATCGCCTAACACCAACCCGTTGTGAAAACTACCGTGGGACGTAGACATCCCCATGGAACCCATTCCCTGGTACGCGCCCATTCCAATCCCGTTCATCGACATAGTGTTCATCGTGTTCACGCTTTGCATCGTGTTCGGGAGCATCGTCGATGGACCCATCGGGCTCAGCCCACCCATGGAAGGAGCTATAGCACCCATCTGCATCGACGTGGCTGTGTGCGGGAGCGACTTTTGTAGATCCGCCGAGGTCGGTGTGATTAGGTAATCCTGGAACAAAGGAATACAAACGTGTTTTCACCGATGCGGAAATTAATCATTTCCTTTTTTTTTTTTTTCTTAAATTCGAGTATAAATTTAAAAAAAGAAATCCCTTTTTAGCTGCACTTTTATTTGTATCGAGCAGACAACTTTAACTTTGTGTAGAGTTTATCTATAAAGTAATCATTACCTGTAGACCTATAGCTTATGATCCATCCAATCATTGAATTATTTCCGATTAATTTTTGTTAATAACACTCACTCCATGTTAATCTTTGTTCAATTGAATTAATAAGTCAAAATCAATCAGTGTTATCAATCATTCCCACAAATTATCACGTTTAATCGGTTAAAAATTTCTTCGTAAACATCAAACAATTATCCAGCTTACCTGACACTCTTGCATCATGTACTTAATAAATCTTGATAATCACGGTAATGTAAGTCCATTCATTATAATATTTCAGATTCATTATTTAATTACATAAATATCGATAAATATAAAAATAAAAATAATTTAATATAATATAAATGTAATTTATATAAAATAATAATATAAAATATAAAAATATAAAAATATAAAAATATAAAAATAATTTATAATTCTTCAAATTTTGACTCACATCACCATGATTTCTTATAAAACTTATCACAATTATTGCACACACTCACTTAAAACTCGAAATTAAATTTCAGCTCAACAAAAGAAGAAGAAGAAGAAGAAGAAGAAGAAGAAGAAGAAGAAAAAAAAGAAAAGAAACATCAAATCATTATAAATTACTTCTCGAAAGTCTTATCCATTCGAATTCACAACATCTTTCTTCGCCATAAGAGTAATCCCTCTTTTCCCTGCTAAAAAAAAAAAAAGAAAAGAAAGAAAAAAGAACTGAAGGAGGGGGGGGGGAATAAATGGAAGCACACGAAACATTTCACTATACCTGTGGACCATAATATTGCATATAGTCCAACTGGCTCTTCTGCTGGGCGCAGCTGGGTGGCGGTGGTGGCAAGGTCGCCGTGGGATGTACCAAGCCATGAGTACCGTGAGCACCGACCTGGAGATGGTGTTGCAACTGATGATGAAGGTTTCGTTTGTCGTCCCCGCTCTCGCTTCCGGTATCGTGGTGCTGCATGTGGTGCGTCGGCGTGTGAGGATGACTCAAGGTCGAGCCATGGCCTTGGTGGTACGAGTGAGGGCTGGACACCGAGACCGGAGGAGGAAGTTGATACATGCCCGACGTCTGTTGGTGATCCACCATCTGTTGCTGTTGCTGCTGTTGCTGAACAGCGCAAGAAGACGGCTGTTGTTGCTGTTGCTGGCTCACAGCTTGTCTCTTCGTGTCGTCCCCACTTTCGCTGCTCGAATCACCTAGTCCTCCGCCATGCGTCTTATCTTCCCGTTGCCCACTGAAACGAGAATAAAAGGGGGTTGAAGAGTAATTTCGAAATTAATTTAAATTCAAAAAAATTAAAATTTATTCCCATTCGCGAGATTTAAATATAAATTTAATCCAATAATTTTTATTAACTTTAGAATGATAATCGTTCCACTTCTAAATACTAAATTCTATTCTATATTGTCCTCGATACGCTTCACCTTCGCCACGACACAAGTACGCGTTAAATTATATTAAATATCAAGAATTTATATCTGCAACAAAATCCTCGTTCTACTCGTATAGATTCAATTCCTTATCTATTCAACAAAGTACCTATCTCGTTAGTTGATAGATACAATATCCCACACACCTGGCGTTCATACCAGTTACACTGCCAATTAATATTCCCAGTCGATTCAACTCTAATCTATTTACATTCTCTACCCACTTCCTTCACACACGTTTCCTTCCAACAACCTACTACGTATATATACCTATACGAATACGTATATATACCTACGCGAACCCTCCTTGCTCGAGTCTAATACAATTGCAAGGCAAAAAGGGCCGGCCAGTGATCGGCCAGCGTTTCGAGAAGCGGAAGAGGATAAGGGCTGCGCGAAATAACGTCGGTTAAGATAATACCGGCGTCGATGCGTAAACTTCGATGAAGAGGGTACCGCCGCTTCTCCCTAGGTACCGGTGAATTAAGGGTGGAAGAGCCGTTACGAACAGGGAGTGAAACGAGTAAAATCGGCGGACAAATAGAAATATAAAGCGAACGGTAGAAAAAGAGAAGGAAGGGAGAAAGATAATAAAAGAGAGGGGGAGGGGAGAGAAAGAAAGAGAGAGAGAGAGAGAGAGAAGAACGAACTACTCTCGACGTCTCGTAAACTCAATTTAGCAGGCTGGACCTCCTCGAAGCCGAAGCACGTGGGACCTATCGGGCTCTTGTGCCTCGCGCTCCGGACTTCTTTCTCCATAACCTTTCTCTCCCTCCATCATTGGCTCCCTCTTCGTCACGCCTGCTACACTCTCTATATCCAGGTACGAGCAATCGTTAAGCGCTTGTTTTACAAGTCGTTTAGACGTGGCCGCCGCGATACGGCACTGTCTTCTCAGGCGCGCAAGTGCCACGACACTTGTCTACGGGGTGTTTTCGAGAACCGGTCCCCTCGAGTTGGCACACGGCCGCACGCCTCTCGCTACCGAACTGATAACGAACGCCCGTTTTACACCCGTTTCCTCTATTCCTTTTATCGCGGTAACGATTTCAATTCTCGGCTCCAAGTTTTGCTACGTATCGGTCAAAAGTTTGGAATAGATTAATAAGAGCGTTAATCTTTATCTTTTGCTTTACTTTCGTGGTGGTGAAAATATAATTTCTAGCATTCTAGATTTAGTCTTGGAATATTTTTACATCTCAAATCTATTATCTGGAATGTAAAATTAATTCGATATCCAAGCGAGAAGCATAAATTTGCAAACATCCAATCTCTGAATCTTATCTATCCATCGGTAGAGGATAGGGGAATAAAATATCTTTCGAATCGCGAAATTATCGCCTGCCATAGAAGATCCCATACTAATCATGGGAAGAAGTAGGAAGAAGAATCTAAAAAAAAGGAAAGAAACCCGAGGACAGTCGAGGAGAGATTTCTTCTCGACTGCGTCTCGGCCAAGACGAAACCAACGATAAATCCGTTCGGCAGGTGAAAATCTCATTGGCTCGTTCGAGAGTCCCGGTTGCAGGGGAGTCCGAGTTCTGGTCCTCGACAAGAATTATTTCCACGAGACGCGATGCAACACGGATCCCACACGTGGAACGACGTGGTTTCGAAGCAAGGGACAAGAGGATCAAGCTTGTTTCCACCGGTACTTTCCGTGCCACCCGTTGCATGCCTGGGTCTATAACCCCAGACGAGGTGTCCCCAGGTATGCCTTATCCGAGCCGAGATCAAGCAGTAAATTTATCCGCGTTGCACGCCGCGCGCGTTCCCTGCGACAGAGAACGGAATCCTTTCGGGCATTATTATTTTCATTAGGATTTGTGACTCATCGCGTGCACGGGACATTTATTTGGCGGACTCGTTCGCAGCGACACCTATAACCGTAGCCATTCTCTCGCGCTCATCTCCCACTCGTTCAATCCACGCGCGTTTCCCTTTTCTGCTATTTTAATTTATCGTTATGATTGTTTCTTATTTATTTTTTGCTGTTGATAAGTACATTCTTGAATGCAAAAATAATCTCAGAATCATTTTTTACGAATGAATAAATCTAAGGAATTTTTTTTATTGACGTGAAACATTGCTGATCTGTTTAGACGTTTAGACGAAATATATCATCATACACGGATATTTACAATTAAAATAATACTATGAAAATAATTAGAGATATAACTTTAAGATTCTAAAATTGTAAAGAATTTTGAAAAATGAGATTTGATAATTGATCAAAGAAATGAAAAGATTCGAAAAAAAAAATAGAAGATGCGCGGATAATTTTTATTGCTATTATTTTTAATCATTTTCTCGATTCAAAAATGTGACACGGTGCCAAAAACAACATTGAAAATGGCGAAAAGACGTGCCACGCGATTTTATGGCATCAGCGTTGGTCTCGCCGTTTTAAACGGCGCTGAGATAATGATCGAAGGCGCGGCACGTTTTATTAATCGACCAGTTCGTAAATAAGGTTTACTTTGAAATTCCGTAGCAAGGTTCTCCCACCCTAATCGCGTCAAGATCGATTCATTTGGATTTTAGAAACAAAAACGACCAGAAACAATTTCACGATGGGATCGTGAAAAGATTCTATCTTACAAAAAGAAACAACGTTCCTGTTTTTAAGGTTATCTCCTAACCTATAGAATTCTCTAATAATTCAACCAATTTCGAAACGTTGAACCATGGATATTAATCAAATGACAAACGTAAAAAAAAAAAAAAAAACATGAAAAATACCAATATATAAAAAAAATCAATGATAAGAAAAAAAAAAGAAAATTTAATACAAAAATGTCTATATGCCGTAATACTACCTATCAAATAATTCGTATTACGCATGCGCACTATTTCTATCGAGAAAGATCACGTGTCATGGCGGGGTGAATTTATTAAAGAAAAACGTGATTACCATGTACCGCGCGCCACGAACCCTGACCTCGCTCGTTTGCGAGGGGGCGATATCGTGTGGTGGCTCGAATAAAGTGTGCGACAACGCAGGGGCGACAGAGCCGATATAATCCGATTTTACGAGGCGGCCCACGAGAGAAAAAGATTCAACCGGCTGAACAGAGAAAGTCCACGAAGAAGGTGCGACAAAGAGGACGAGAAAGTAGGGAGATCCTATCTCGACCCCGTGCTGCTCTCTCCCGAGCGATATAAACTTAGACGCGAATTAGTGGAATCGCGCAAGCCGATACCATCTCATTTCGACCGGCTGGCGAATAACCACCATAGGAAATTTATCGGGAAATTAAATTACGAATTATGCTAATCCAACCGAATAGCCGCTCACCTCTCTCTTTTTCTCTCTCTTTCTTTCTTCATCTCCGTAAGAATGAAATGAACACGACCAGTGAAGACGACGATGTTGTTCGATTCGTACTGACAGATATGATCGGTCCATCGGTTCTAACCAACGATGCGACTTTTGTTTATAATATATTTCATACCGTTTTCGAATTACACGCGAGATGTCGTGCGTGACAGTGCCACCCACTCGCCATCATTGGCCGCCAATTGGAATATCTTTTTCTTATTGTCAACGATAAAAGACGACGCTTGCATGTAATGCAATAAAATGGATTATAACAAACAATGGAATATATCTGGTTATTTGAAGGGTGTTATTAATTTCAGTGTAAGTACATTCGTAATCTACAAAATGTCTATGTCTTTGTAGGTATTTCGTTATTCACGCGTACATAACCTCTCGTTCGACTTCGTTGTCTCTTTCTTATTTAAAGTTTATTGTGTATAATTTTAACCAATGACAAGATTGTCATACTATTTCTTACTCGTTAATCTGATTGCCAACAGCGTTTTTTTAACCATCTATTCGAGTTTATAAGATAGCAAGGAATTTCGAGGGCGTGAGATGTAATGCCACGTTTCCAATGGTCGTCAGCGTGGCGTCTCTTGTACGAGACACGCGTAGACAGACTGTATATCTTTGTCTTAAGTTGGAGAAGGATGGGGTTAAAGAAGAAAGAGCAAAAGACGCGAGAGGTGGCCAGTGGAAAGCCGACTAAAACCCGAGCCAAGAGATCTGAGATTTCGACTTCTATTCTGGTCAGAGATGCGATCCGATTGCGCTCGACGTCGCGTTAGAAACGCGAGACAATATTATTAGACACGTTGGAAAAACGAAGAAAAAGAAAAAACAATTTCTAACAAACTTATACTGACATTAACGTTTGCTCATTGATCATACAGTTCAATTAACAATGAAGCTGGAAATTTAACAATATCAGAAGGAAAATATATCCTACAATTGACATTTTATGTTATTTTATTATCCCCAATAATAAAAAAACATATTGTTTTAAGGAAAACTATAAAATCTTTCTTAAAAATATTTCTCAAGTAAGTAATAATTATTTGGCATCATAAATTCTATTGTATAAGTTTGATTTCCACCTCGAATTTTCACGAGATAATTTATCCACGAATTAAAAGGGCACATTATTATCCCTTAGGAGGAGAGCTCTTTCAAATACAAAAGATGAATACTTCAGGATTACTTTGCACATAGTCGAAAAGGCAGAAAGGCAAGCTTTTGTCCGCGAACGAAGAAGCATTTCATGGATGTGAAGAGAGCAAATTGAAAATCGGTTGGTCAGTTTGTCGGCAAGCAGAGAGAAGATTTCCCCAAGTACACAGAGAAAAGAAAAGTCTGTCGCTACTCTCTCACAGTTTCTCTCTCTACTCTCTAGATCCAGTCTGCTCGGCAGGTGAGCACGTTGAGGAAGAAGCGTTGAGAGAAGAAGGGACTTCACCGGCAGCTGATTCCATAAGCAGATAGGAAAGAATTTCTTCGGCCTAAAATAATGGGGATGCAGCCTACCGTGTACACACCGCCTCTGTTTACAAACTTTGGCTCACCTCTCTTTTCCTCCACGATCAAGCTGAAACGCATCCACCTTTTCTTTTTTTTCTACCTGCTTCTCTTCCTCTACCTCTTTGCAAATATACCAATCGCGCAATTTTAAAGGAAAAATATCCTCCATGAATTGTAACTTGTACTGCTTTTTTTTAAAGTATACAATAATAACATGTAAAAAATAATACCTGTATCCGATTGTGAGAAAGTTACTTTTACGATATGAAACAATACCTATTATAAATATTTTTAAACAATTCTTAATAATTATTACTTAATAATTATAATTATTATTTAATTCTTAATAATTATTATTTAATGACAATTGATATGTAATCAGAAGAATTATTGTATATATATTAAAAATTAATTATTTCGATTACATTAATAAATGTGAAGAAACAAGTGTAAAAGAATAAAACGGAGAATTATCTTCCTGATCTAATTTATAGTTAACGATTCACACTTCGATTTTAAAGTTAATAGCATTGATTGACCGATAATTCATTGAATACGTGACAGAGCGATAACATCGCTACAGGTAAACTCAGAAGTTCTCGTTCGAATAACAGGGATGAAGCGTTAAAACGCTTTCGATGTTTTGGAATTCTTTAATCCGGATTATGTTGAACCTGCCACTAGTTTTCTTCGATCTATAAAGAGCGGTTGCTCAAGCGAACGGATATATCTGTCTATTCTTCAACTTCTTTCTAGAGGGTGACACAGAGTATTATTGAAGACGGAATCTCGAATGAAACTTTTGTACCACAACCGAGATGGTTGGGGTTAATGATCATGTCAATGAGCGGTTGATCGATTCCATCGCGTGAAACAGATTTAATCTTGCCAAAGATACCGCGACGGAACACCCAGTGAGCGTCCTTTATTTTATTGAAAAATATGCAAATCGATCACGTGTGAGAGATGAAGACTCTAGATAGGCACCTAGAAGTAACTTATCTGTAGATTTACGACGACGATTAATTCTTTCCTTTTTTTCACAGTGATACATTAATGATTTATCAACTTTTATCTTGCAGATAACTCTCTAGGCAATTGGTTGTCTATAAGTCATGTAGAAATTAAATGGTGTATAAAATATTGTTTAATAGTATATAAAATTTTCAAATATAAAAGTATAATATTTCAATGAATACAAAATTTTCATTATACATATAAATCACAGTGTTTGTAACTTCATTATTTAAACAAGAAGAAATCTGTTTTACAAGTTTCAATTAAAACCATTCTCATTTGACAAAATTTAGTAGACGTAACCAGTGTAACAATTAATCTCAATTGATATCGGCAAGAATTCTCGGCTTGTCTTCCCGATTGAACATACTAATTCGAAAATGTCATTGAAAACAGAATCCTCCGCGTATCCAGTGAGATTAATGACGTGATAATTACGAATGTAGCAAATGCAATGCATGGATAACAAAACGAAAGACGAATAGCCGAGTGGAAGAGTTATCGACCCCTAAGTGTCAGTCGCATCGAAATTTGCAATGAATGGCACTTTATTCCAAATGATCGGCTTGTTTCCACATAGAAATCGGACAGAAGAATGTTCTTGTACGTTGCTTGCCAAAAATTCTGTGTTTTCATGCCAAATCTTATATACAATCTCATATCATAAGAAAGAACGATGACAAATGTTTAATCGTAAATTTTGGAGAATTCACATGTGAATGTTAATCTTCCAATGAGTATGCGCACATATGTTCAGTAGTCATGCGCATGCGCAAATATAATTATTCAGTAGTCGAATACAGAGCAATAGTGCGATTATCACTTGACATCATAAAATATTTTTAATTTTAAATCTATAATCTATTAAATGAGAACTTTGTTTACATTTCTCTTTGTTTAACTATATTTTTAGTTATTTATTATAAATTTATGATTTCTGTAAAACATCGATAAAATCCGTGATTAAAAACTCATGATAAATTAAAATTAGAAATAACAGTACTTCAGCTTTGATAGGCATGCGCCGACTATTCATTACAAATAAGATTTTTATTTCTAAGCGCGGGAAAGTTGAAATATATCTTTAAAATGATAAAGTTATATTTTATGTTTTCTCTTAACCGAGAATATAGAAAATGAAATATTTCAACAAATCGTTAAAAATTCCTTATAAACTCTTAACCCTTTATGAATCATGTCTTAATTTAGAATGAAATAGTTGGCATCCGACAAATAATCGTATTTCGAAATTTCATGAAATTTCTAACATCGTGAAATGTTGTTAATTTATGTTATCTTATTTATAATTTATTTATTATTTTTCAATGAAATCTTTTATTATTCTTATTACATATCTTCAAAAAGAAATGAAACGAATTGCATAAATTGTTAAAAAAAAAAAAAAAAAAATTCATTTGTAATTCAAGTATTTCACATCTATCAGTGTATTATATAAAATATTGGTTACAAAACAATTCTATTTCTCTATTCCCTTGATTTCCGATCTTGTTTGACGTAAAGGAAAAGAACGCAATATTTCTATCTTTACAAGGTGAAACTTTAGCACGAATAACGCACAAGGGGAGAGGAGGTGTGTATACCATACCACGAAGATCGAAACTTCTTGACGTACTTACATAAGTTGTGTTCCAAGCTGAGGAGTAACTCGACACCGTTTAAGGGAATGTGTACGTGTTGTATATGTAGATACGTCACACGAAAATGCTTCCGTTGTGGGATGCTACCACGAATTGAAGAGAGAGAAAAAAAAAACAACGAATATAGACGTCGAATTTATTCAACCGAAGCACAACGAGAATTTTTCGTTCTTCGGTTAAAAACTGCGACAGAATAAGCAAAGAAATGTTTCAAAAGTTTGTTTAAAATAACGTTTAAATATTTTTATTGTGTGATTTATATAAGGTTTTATACTTATTCATCATCATATATAAACAAAAATGGATTATTTTATTTTAAATTATTATTTTTAAATAATAGATTATTTTTTATTCGCGATAATTGAACAGAAACAGTTTTCCAAAACAAACAAGAAATCATAGTATCAAAATAACCTTTGTAGTAACAAAGAAAGAATATGATCGAGTAAAGAAAATGGAAACTAGCCGTTTCAAGAGCTACATGGTCAATTACAACTGGTGGCTATTAAAATCACGTGATCATCCCAGAGATGTATTTTCGGATGTGAGAGAAAAAAAAAACAAGGGAAAAGCAAAACATTGGCTAAGCTTCCTAGAAACCAAGTGTCGCAACGAACAATGAAATTCAAATGTAGCATGCAAGCAACAGCCAGGCAGTTTAACAATAAAAGTAACATTAATAGAAAAGCCTGCCAGTTTCTCTGATATTCGGTATGTTCTCTCTTCTCGATTTACCAATCCGTTCAGGATCGTTTATGTTTTACTACATCGTCGAACATAGAACAAAAACACAGGGAGATTGATTTAATCTGTTTAGACCCCGTCTTATTATGCAACCAGTCATACGGATAGAAATTCGAAGAAATTCGTTCGAACAATCAAATCTATGATATGCAAATTTTCCAAATTTTCTTTTTAATTCGATTGCTAAAATTCTTCTGTTTCTTATTTCTTCAAGCAAGGTCGAAATTTATATATAAGTAACCTATATCATCTAGTTATCGAACCGGATTTACAAGAATTATTTTATCCTTCTTTCCACTTCTAACGGAATTTTCTTTTTTATAATGCAAATTTTCACGCATCACTGATTCTGAATTTTTATTATTACATTTTTTAGCTTCTTTCTTCAGATTAACTACACTTATAATGCATTTTATTATTACAGGTACGCAAATTACTAAAAGAATTTTAAATGCATGGAAAAATAATTATTTATCGATAAATTCTATACCCAAAAAACTAATCTAAACCCAAAAAACATATTCCCAATTAAATTTAAATTTAACGATTTTGTGTTTCTCGCAATTTAGAACCTAACCATTCGCGACATCTAAGAAAACCGAACTTTGCCGCACAATCTTCTAAAGCACATGCACGCAAGGCGCACACAGTGCATTCTGGGAATGCGTGCATGAATGAATGCCCCCTCTGTCGCCTGCGAGAGAGTCGACAGAAGGAAACGAACGAGGGAAGCTCGTTCTGAGAGAAGGGGAGGAGAAAAGAAGAAGAGCACGAGGAGGAGGAGAAGGAAGAAGAAGAAGAAGAAGAAAAGGAGGAGGAACACGCGCCCCGAAGAAAGAGAGAGCGGAGAGAGAGGATTGTTCTTTTTCAAACGACAGCGGAGAGCAGCGGACGGTGACGTGTACGCGACGAGGCGGGCCCTTTTTGGCCCTTACGTGGCCATATGTGGCCCCTTCTTCCCTCGGCCTGTCAGATTTGACGTGGTCCTTCTTTAGAAGCGGTTTTTCACCGAGAGGGGCCCCTAACCCGCCTTTTTTGTCCGCGTGTGCCCGAAAATGGCTGAGGCGACCCAACATGGCCGCCCCCTTCGCTCTCTCTTCGGCGAAAAAGGGTTCGAACCCCGGCCCGGCTCCCGTCTCTCCCTGGTAAAAGCTTCGCCGTATCAAACTCTCGTCCTTTTCTCGCTTTTTCAAACGCATCCTTTGTGCAGTTTGATAGCTCGAATCAAGAAGTATTCTTCGGCCGACCTTCCTCTACAATTCGAACCATGGTTTCTCCACTCCTTCTTCGCAGGCAGAAAGAAGGAAATTTACCTTTCGATTGTCTTTCCAGGGCATGGAGAAAGGGAAGATTGCTCGTTTGTTCGGAGATAACTTCGATTCGTGGATTTGGACACCTGTTGGATTTTTGTGGGAACTTTTTGAAAATTTTCTTTCGACGATACAGTTTTGTTTCTTATAGGAGTGCAAGACAGGTTTTCTTGCTATTTGTTGTTGAATTAATTAAAAATTCTACTGTAAAATAATAACAATTCACAGGCGTTGAATTAACAAGACTCGAGAATAGATATTTGAATCACAGAAATCCATTGCACCATCTACTTTACCAAGAACCATAAAATGCAAGTTATCGCGTTCAATAAATTCGCATTATATAAAATCTACATGTTACCAAAGCTGTCCAATAAATTGCCATAAATGTTTGAACTTTATCGAGTAGTATAGCATAGTACACCGTCGAGTGTTTCTTATTCATTGATTTATCACGAATATCGACAAATAATCGTCACGTTTGTTAATACCAATAATTTACCCACGATGATATTAACAATCCTATTTTTGACTCGATATAATAATCTTTCTGCATAACATTCAATAATTCATATATCATA